TTCTTATGTGAAAAATGAGGGGACGGGACTGAAAGATTTCTAAGTTTCCTTTCTAGTTCGAAATTTGAGTCATAAATCTTGAAGAGTTCTCAGAAAATCTCCACTTTGGCCATCTTAGTCCTTTAGAATTACCTCTGTTCTTCTACTCTTTTTGGTGAATTTTACTTGGCATGTTGTATTTGATCCTGAAGAAACATCCAGAAGACGGTAGAAGGGGGAACAGAGTACAGTTAAACTAAGTCCTTTACTTTGTAAACTAAAAAATTCTAACTAGCTGGGGTGGCTAGCAAAAAGCCAGGACAGACAAACAGACTCGGGATACTGGCAAAACCCAACCTTGGACCCAATTTCAAGTCCAATAAAGAGACATAGATTCCCCCCCCCAAAAAAATACAAATTCCATGTGGATTATTTGTATATTTGCAGCATGGTTTTGTTTTACAAGAAAGAAAAAGGGTAGCAAAGACCACCCATTCATAAAGACGCCTGAAATATTACCCGAAGGATGGAAGGGAGGAAACAAGCACTTACGGTGTGCTTACCTACCTACATATACTATATTGTGCTAAGTGTTTTACTGACATTATTTCATCTGATACTCAAAGCAATGCTGGAAAGTAGGCACTAAAGATGCCCATTTTACAGCTGAGGAAACTGAGGCAGCCAAAGGTTAAGTGGTCACACTTAGTTAAGCTGGGGTCACACTGCTAGGGGGTGTCTGAAGCCACATTTGAACTCAGGTCCTCCTGACTCCAGACCCAGTGTCCTAACCACCGTACAACCGGCTGCCTCTACTTGAACCTGAGAAAGAAAAAGAATTTACATTTCTATTATTTAAAAGGTTATCATTTTGAAACAAGGCAACCTTTAATACTCATGCTGAGTCGCAAGTTCATATAACCTACTCAGAGTGTGAACAACAAAGGGTGAAAAAAAATTCATTAAAGCGCTCAAAAAACTCCTGGTGCTCTGCATACACAGACCACTGGCAAACAGGGCTAACTGACCAGCCTGCAGACAGCTTGAACCAAACTAAAATGTTAAGTGGAAGTAGGTGGCAAAATAAGCAAAAATACCAAAAACCAGAGATAACACTACATCTTCAAACACTGAGATTACAGCCCCCTTTTACTGGCAGTCTACTACCACCCTGTCCCTCCGGGAGGCATCTCACTGCCACCACTCAGATGCACCTCAGCCCCATGGACTGGAAAAAAGTGATATTTTGAAATATCAAAAGGGATATTTGTGGGTAATGAATCAAGTGATGAAAAAGCAGGTATTCAGCCCCTCCTAAAGAAGAGAGAAGGAAAAGAAGGAAAGAGTGGATTGTTTCTCAAGGTGAGTCAGGCTGCTGAAAACTGATTTCCAAAGAGAACAACTTTCTGATCCCAGGCTACGATAAACACTCAATGGTTCTACACCTTCCTCTCCAACTGGATGGTGAGCAAGGCTCCCTGGAAGTCCTAACTTCTTGGCTCTGCCCCAAGCAGCCCCGCCTGACATAGCTGAACAATCACCTCCCCACCTAACCTCAATCCATCAGAAAGAATCAGAAATGAAAAGAAAACGAATTAGCAATTTTCCAATCCGCATTAACAGTCTCCAAATATGCGAGTGTTACAAGATTGCTAAACCACATGGCCATAGGCATTTGCTGGCAAGATTAAGTCTTGAGGAATATGGGGGTGGGGGGGGAGGGGAGAGAGGAAAAAAACCATCTGAGGTGCAGAAACACATCTGCTCCAAAATATTTTAACATATGTTCAACCAAGAGATGCATTCCAATATTTGTTCCTCAAATGCCAATATAATCAGGAGCCCAACCAAGACGGGAAGGATGGTGGAGGTGGAGGCTGAGGAAAACATTAACATGGCAGCTTCTACCCAACTGGCTTAAGGGGCCTCCGGCTCACGGAAACTTGTTTGAACTCACGTGCTTCAAACTTCTTTTAAGAGCTGTTTTTAACAGCTCTGTAAGAAGTGATTTTCCTTTTCATTGGAGGAAAAGGTAAAAAAAAAAATTTCTGGTCGAGACTAGAAAGGAGACCCAAAATGCCAGCTCCAGCGAGGTGGATTCCCTTCTGAGGGCGGAGGGGCCGCTGCGGGCTGGAGCCAGGCCTTCCGATGTAGATTTCTCCTGCCTCCAATCCTGCATCACACTGCCTTTCAAGAGCAGTATTGTGCTAGGTATTCGAAATGGAAACTGCTCAAATAGACGCTCGTGATTTGGTGGTGGGGCTTAACGGAGGACTCTGTTTCCCCATCTGTAAAATGAGGGGGCTGCACTAGATGGGCTCTGAGATTCCTTCTTTGATCCTATGACTCCGCCAGCAAGACTCCTTTAAAGGTAGAAAAAGAAAAGCCTCCATCCCCAAGTCCATCCCTGGGCTGCACTGCTGCACAGCAGAGCAAATCCTCAGAACCAATATCCTCGGTTCATTATCTACACATTCCTGTGGGCTCAGATACGGAGAGGACGATGGCCAGAACAGAAGGGACAACAGAAGGTGTGTGAGCATGCAACCATCTTCTGTGGAGTTCAGTGGCTCTGTCCAGCCCTGCCCCTGCCTACCTCTGCAGGTGCCGGTGGGCCTCTCACCCGAGACTTCAGCTCCTCTGCCCCAAATGCTCTCCTCAGCCTGGACCTCTGCAAGGTCCCGGCTTCCTCCAGGAAGCCTTCCTGCTCCCCTCTTTCCCCTTGTCCTCCTCCCTCCCTCAGCAGCGGCTTGTGCTCCCTTGTGTACATGTCTACTGACGCTCGTGGTCTCCCCCATTCAAATGTAAACTCTTTGAGGGGAAGACTACTGCACTTTGGTGCCTGGCACAGTATAGACACTTAGTGAATGCCTGTTGATCGACTGATAAAACTAACTCTGAACTGCGCAGAGGAGAGGAATTTTCAATGCTCTGTCACCCACAGAGTGCTAGCACCAGAGCTTATTAATTAGCTCTTAGTCGTCGGGCTCGATGGGCAGGGCAAGAAGCACCCAGGCCTTTCTCCTGCCCCCCCCCCCCATGCCCCATGGCAGCAGCTGAAGGAGCTGCCCACAGAGTTTCATTCCGGGCTCCTTTCTGACCATGTGCTGTATTCTGGTGGCTAGAGAGCTTCCAGAGCCAGGAAAACCTGGCTTCATGTCTCCCCTGGACACATGGCCCCAGGCCCCAGACCACAGGTGATACCAGGAGCTCCGCCCCAGGAGAGAAAGGTCCTCACTGGAGGACTGTCATTTCTCCAACGGGGTCTCTAATAGAGCAAGCAATTACCTAGAACCTCAAGGAGAGCAGTAACACCCTCTTCATTTGGTCCTTCTGCAGAGGGACCCTCCCATCCCTACCCCACCCTACTCTATTGCCCTTCTGTCCTCACTTTCAAATGCCCCTCTCCAACCACCATGGGCTTCCCTGCAGACAGTGAAGACAGGCAGCTTCCTTTGGCCCATCAGAGGATGCTGCCAGGCCCTCCAAGCAACAAAGGCACGTTCCGAAGGGCCTCCAGGAAAAGATCAAAGGAGAACGGAAGAAGCAAGGTCAGGGAAACCCAAACAAGCTATTTTAAAACAAGGCCTTCACATGTGGAGTCAGAGCTCAGTGATGAGGCAGCCTGATAGCAAGGTCTTCACAAAGGTTCCTCAAATGCTTCTCTTCAAGAGGTGTCCAGCAAACTACCTCCCCAGCCTGGGCACAGGGTCCTTTCGGAGGCACGCACTAAAAGAGAAAAGCCTTGGGCTGCCTTCTCCCGGGGACTCAGCGACAGGCTTGGCAAAGAGAGCCAAGGATGGTGCAGCCAGAGCTGGGAAGGCCCCCCACAAGGAAACTGAGGCAAGCACACAGGAGCTGGAGGCAGGGGCAGCCCCTGCCCTCTCTAATCCAGCCCCGGGGTGACCAGGGTAACACAGGTCATCCTCCCCCTGACACGTAAGGTCTGGCTCCAGCCTCTTGCTCCACACTCCTTCCCGTCCTCTAGGCCCCCGCACTCCTGACACCAGACCCTTTCCTTCAGAGCTCAGCCCCAGGGGGCAGGGGTTCGTGCCTTCTCATCTGCAGACCCTCCCTGGTCTGGCCAGACCTGCCTTCTGGCTGTTCCTTAAACATAGCACTCTCTGCCCTCCCCAAGCCGCCTCTGCACAGGCAGTTCTCAGTGCCTGGGAGCCACTCCTCTCAGAATCCCTAGTTTCCTTGGCTCAGGGGCCTCCTCCTCAAAACCTGGCTCCCTCCCCCTGGGCTGTAGAAACCTGTAAAAGGCACGTCCTGCTTCAGCCACACCCGGGCCCTGTGACCCTCAGCGAGTCACTTAACCCCTCCGTGTCCCAAGCAGCTCTGGAAGCCAAAAGTGGCAAAGCAGTGGGCTGAGAGGAGCTCCCTGATATCCCAGGTCCAGGCAGTCAGCAAGCATTTATTAAGCACCAACTGTGTGCACTGTGCTAAGCACTGAGGATACAAAGAAAGGCCAAAGGCAGCCCCTGCCCTCCAGGAGCTCCCAAGTCTTCTCCATTTTGCCCTATATTGATTATCTCCAACTCATCCAACCTACACCTCCCTTATCCCTAGTTGTCCGTGCTCCGTCCCCTCCATTAGCCCGTGAGTTCCTGGAAGGCAGGGGCTGCCTCTGTCCTTTCTTTGTATTCCCAGCGCTTAGCACGATGCCAGCAACACAGTAGGCGCTCAATAAATGCTTTTGTTGAATGATTAGCCCGTGCGGGTCCCGTGGTCTCCCCCTCTAGATCGCAAGCGGGGGTACTCACTGGGCCCTGTACACAACAAGCGCCTAATAGATGCGGGAGCCTGCGTCCACGCCCCCTGGGCCACTGCCGCGCTTGCTCACGCCCCGCCCCCCCAGACGTCAGTCAGTTTCAATTCCGGCTAATTAGCCCAGCCCCTGCTTTTATTAAGCACCTCCTAGGTGCCAAGGAGGGGGGGGCGGAGAAGCACCTGGGGGGCGCGCGCGCCCCCGAACCCTTGGCGCGCGCCCGCTCCCGCTCCCGCGCACGCGCACTCACCGATCACCTCCTGCAGCTCATAGTCGTCCCTGTTGATGGACCAGGGCAGCGCGCCCGCATCCTCGGCCATGGCGGCTGCGCCCCGGCCTCCTCGACCTCCTCCTGCCCCCGCCCCCAGGCACGCCGGGGATAGAAAGTCGAGCGGGGCCGCAGCCGGAGCCCGAGCCGGAGCCGGAGCAGGAGTGACAGCAGCAGCCAGCGGGCGCCTCACTCCGCGCCTCCGCCCGGCCCCGCCCCACCCCCCGGCCCCGCCCAACTGCCAGGCCCGCCGCCGCCGCCGCGCGGAGGCGAAGCGCAGCGTGGTGACGTCGCCGCCCCGCCCGCGCCGCCATCTTGAGTGTGTCCCGTCCGCGGACTTCGGCTCGAAGAGTGGGCCGAGGAGAGTCCGCTTACGTCAGGGAGGCGTAGCCTAATGAACGACTGATGGGATAAAGGAGTGACCAAGGACAGGACGAGCCCAGCCCTACCATTACAGCCGAGAAGCGCACCGTAAGGCCACACTCAACATGGCGCCCTGGCGCAAAGTCGCCAGCGTAGCTCCGCCCCCCGCAGTGAGCTCCGAGCCCAAGGAGCGGGGGGGCGGGGCGAGGGGGGCGGAGCCGCCGGCCGGCCGTCATGCGGAGCTCCGCCTCCGAGGCGGGCGCGCGTCGTGGAGCGCCAAGAGCTCCTCCTTCAAAAGCCAGAGCCCCGCCCGCGGCCGGCTCCTAGCGACTTCCGGCGTGACGTCAGGGCGCCCCGGCTCCTCCCGCAGGCCTGCGGTGGGGAGGAGGCGGAAAGTCTGATGGGTGGAATGGGGAAGGGTAGGGGGGAAATGACTGCGGGGCCGGAAGTAGTTGCCTGCCGGTCCGGTGACGTCACTTCTGGGCAGGTCGGCGCTTCGCGACCCCGGCAGCGGAGAGACGTCGTGGGGTGTCCGCGGCGGCCCCGGGACCTCGGTCCGCTCGGGCTCGGACCTCCCAGGGGCCTGGGTCTCCGGGGCTGTTGGCGAGGGAAACCCGCCTGTCAGAGAAGTGGGGCGGCCGCCCGGGCCCTCGGTTCAAATTCTGCCTCTGCCCCTTAGAGGCCACGTGACCCCGGCCACGTTTCCCCCCACGTCTCTGTGCCTCGGTTTACTCAGCTGTCAGGAGAGGGTGGAACCCGAGGGCCCTTCGAGCTCCACCCTCTTGTGCTTTTAGCCGTGGACGGTCACGTCCCGCCCCACCCGTGGCCCGGCTTAGCCGGCGTGACCGTCCCCTGCGGCCGCGGGCCCACTTTCCAGATGGGGAAACTGAGGCACGAGGTGGGGAGGTAGGTCCCAAGTATTTATTCGGCGCACACCGTGTACCGGGAGCTGTGATGGCGCTGTCCTGGGTTCAAGTCCTGCCCTAGCCTTCTAGGTCAGAGACCCCAAACTCGGACCGCAAAAAAGAACCACGTCTTTATTTCGATCCACACGGCTCCCTGTGCAGCCCGGCTGTAGAATGTTCGGGGGAGGGGCGTTCCTCCCTGTGCCCGCGAGGTGGTCACTCGCTCACCCCGCAGACCAGACCGGGAGCGCTAGGGCCGAGCGCTTTACCTACAGTCGATCACCTTGTGAAATGCGTGTGCTAATGTGGTGGGTGACCCATTAGACAGATGGGGAAGGTGAGGCTCGAACTCACCAAGCGCTTTCACGTTCCCGCTGGGGATAACTAACAGACTTCAGAGACCGCTCTCGACTCCTCCCTTGTTCCCACTACAAGCTGACCTTTACGTTTAGCCCTGTCGATTCAGGCTCCATTCCTCCAGCACGTATCGAGTGCCTGCTGTGTGCAGAACGTGGTACTGTGCCTTTCTGGAGAAACAGTTTAAACAAAGTGGTCTCTTTCCTCCAGAGGCTTACTTCTGTAGAGAAGGAGAAGATGCTAACGCATGACTAATACAAATGATGGCAGGAGACATTGGAGAGGTAGAGAAAGGTTCAGAAACGGCTTCCTGCAGGAAGTGGAAGGTCATGGGGGAGAGAGACACTGAGGAAGGAGCAAAGGCGCTGTCAGAAAGGCTCTGGGCATGTTGCTCAATAGAGTAATCCCACCGGGCTGGAGAGCAGTGTGTGGAGGAGAGAGAAGAAATAAGGATGGAAAGGGAGAGGAGCCTGAGAGAAAGAGGCATGATCTTCAGTGTGTCAGGGAGCCTTTGAAGGGTTTAGAGCCATGAACTGTACACAGCCAGATCTAAGGGAAGTGTCTGGCGTCAGTTTAAGGGAAGGTGGCCACAAGAAGACCTGGAAGAGATGCCTTTTGAAGAAAAATGACTTTGACAGACTTAACTCCAGTGAGATGACCAACCACAACTCTTAGGACCGGTGAAGAAGCAAGCTCTCCACTCTAGACAGAGAGGATAGACCCAAGATGCAAAAGGAGTCATACATTTAGGACATGGTAGTAGTCCTTAACGGCCAACGTGGAAATTTGTTTTCTTGACTTTGACTATGCCTACGTGTTTTTCTTTCTCTCTTTTTTCAATAGGGAGAAGTAAAATAGGAGGACTAAGGATAGAGTTCTCCCCTACCCCCCGAAAAGAGGACAAGGCAGATTTGAAAGCTGCATGTCAAATTTATTTTACATTTATACAGAAAGTCACACTCTATATAATGGGATTTTTGTTATCAAGAATTTTTTTCTCCCCCACATAAAAAGAGAAAAGACTCTTGTAACAAATATACATAGTCAAACAAACAAAGAAATTTCCCGTATCGACTGTCTCCAAAAAATGTTTCTCATTCTGTATCTTGAGTCCATTAACTCTGTCAGGAGGTGGGAAACATTCTTGATCATTGCTTTCATTTCTTATACAGACCTCTCTTGTTCTACAGTGTATTTGGAAATGTTCATTTTATTTGTTTATTCAGAACAAAAATAAAGTGGAAAAAATTTAAAGGTTTATTGTCATATTACAGGCAACTAGCAATGAATAAGGGTAAGCTAGTGACATTGGAAAAAAAGATGATGTATGCCCTTGCAGTGGGGGTGGGGGAATCTCTGCCCCTCTGAGACAGGAGGGGCAAGGAAAAGTCCAAGATCACATAAAGATTTTGAACATGGAAACTGGCTCTACCACTGACAAGTCACAGACTAACTGGTTGGGAAGGGACCGGCCAATATAATCTGTACCTGAACAGGGATCCCCTATCCAATACTCTTGGAAGATCTCCAATGAAGGGGCTTCCCAAGGCAGCCGACTTTATTTTTGAATAGATCTTCCCGAGGACATTTTTCCCGGAAACAAACCTAAATTTACCTCTTTGCAACTTGGGACCAAGCAGAAGAAGCCTCGTCACTGTCCTAAGGAAGGCTTGGAAATGATTGTCATCACCCCATCCCCTTCTCCAGGTGCAAGCTCCCCAATTCCTTCAGGTGATTCTCACACTGCAGCATCTGGGGGGCCTCCCCCACGCTTAGTCCCCTCTTCTAGATACCTCCTAGCTCCTCGTTGCTCGGAGCTGCAATGCAGTTCTTCAGAGTGTGACCAGTTACATCCCTGGTGCTGGATGCTGCTGCTTTGATTCAGGGCTGCCATTTCTCATGCCTCAGGCTCATTTTGAGCTGGCAGTCCACCAAAGTCTCCCAGTCTTTGTCAGACAGCTGGCTGGCTGCTCATGGCTCCACCAACTTGTACTTCAGAAATCGATTTATTGAATCTATTATTCCAATTAAATTTCATCTCTTTAGATTTAGGTTGATGTCCTAGCCTGTTGGATCCTGACTGACGTGAAACTCTGTGTCATCTTTGAATTAGCAAAGCATGCTAACCATTCTTCCATCTAAGTCACTGATGAAAATGTAGACACTGATCCCACCTGGGACTTTCTCCTGAAATCAGAAGGAGGAAGGATAATAGCTAGCATTGATACAGTGCTTTAAGGTTGGCAGAGCATTTCACAAATATCTCTTGTGAGGTAGGTGCTATTATTATCCCCATTTTACTGGGGAGGAAACTGAGGAAATTAAGTAACTTGCCCAGGGTCACACAGCTCCAGTCTTCCTGATTATCCACTGCAAACTCTGAGAGTTTGGGACTTGTTAACTGTTAGGTTACAGTGGCAAATTCCAAGTGGAGATGGTCCTGTAAGCAGGAGTAATTGTAAGTGCGAAGCTTATAAGAACACTGTAGGCTCAGGATGTAGAGTTGGGAGTTCATCTGCATGGAGGTGGTAACTGAAGACCCAGGAAGGAAAGGAAAGCCCAAGGAGAGAAGCATGGCAAGCATCCACCCAGGAGGGGGAGGGCCAGCGCCAGCCTCTGCCGTCTCCCTTTTCCCAGGCTTTCGTCATCTCCTGCCTATATTGTACTAGCCTCCTCACTGGTTTCCCTGCCTCCCTCCTATACCACCGTCAGATAAATCTACTTTGGTCCCTCTGAGGACATTGCTTGCGATGAAGACATAACTCTTAAAGTTTGACTAGGCTCTTGCCCATTTCCCCACTCCCTTTGCTTTCTGTCCTTCCTCTCTGTTCCCTTTAAAACTAGGGAAGACCTTGGGATAATCTCCAGCTGCCTTCAACCTTCCCTGCTCAGCCTGCCTCCTCTGACAGTGTGCCTGACTTCATTCCATCTGTGTTCTTTTCTGAATCCTGCAGTCTGACTTCGCTGAGTCCTGACTTCTCTCTGACCAAGTCTAGTTCACGTCAGCCGAACAGGAACCTACAGCCTCGCCCTTAAGTATCTGTATAATACCTGCTTCCCAGCCCTGGCCCAAGGCAATTGTTCAGGATCTTTCCCCAAGACGAATCCTTGAGTTAACCCCAATCGGGCTGGGGCAGAGTCACCTGCATCTGTGGGCCTCACTCAAGGTCCTCACTGTCCCATCTTCCTCCCACTGCTAAGGGGACACTTGCCCCGATTTTTGATAGCTGGTACAAACTGCCAGGTACAGTTATTTAACCACACATAGATAAATATGCATTTATCTCCTATCTACCCAACTAGATGGTAAATTCCTTGAGGGCAGGAACTCTCTTATCTGTTATTGGTTGATAGTGATGCTTCTAAGAAGACAAACACCAGCTGTTTTTTCTACCCCCTTTCTTCCCAAATCACATGCAAGCCCCTCCTCCTTTGGCTGGATTCTAGTTATATAAATATCCAT